TGAGCCTGATAAGGGCTAAGCCAAAAAAAGAACATTCTTTCCTTTTCCTTTTGGACTACTCCAAAGCTGTGCGGATGAGCATTCAGCAAAGGGGGGGTGCCTGCATCCGCTCGGTGAACAACCCTGAAAAACTTTCATTCCTTTGCTCAGCAGGGGCAGGAGAGTTGCCAGGTCCTCAGGGCAGCAATTGACTGCCCTAATCCTTTCTCTTCCTACAGTTGCCTGCTTCACTTACACATCATCGTCCAGATTGAGCAGATGTTGAAGCTGGGATGCTACAGACAATAGTCTTCTCCTCTAATTCATCCTTAGAGCAGGCCCTGTCCTGTGTAGGAAAGGAGGCAAAAATAAAATATTGCCCGTGTGTGTAATGAGGCTGTTTCATAATGCATACACATAAGACAGCCAAATTAGGGTTGTACAGACATGCTGTTTCCAAAGGTACCCAAATAAATGAAGCATCCTACTTCCTCCATAATGGCCCTATTTGGACAGATCTGTGACCTAACCAGCTCTGGGGTGAATTCTCCCACGTGGCAGTCTGTACAGCTTGGGAGTGAGCACAGTGGTGAGGGTGGCTGTTGAGCCATTCCTTGAGTAGTCATCTTTGTATAGCGGTGCTGTGACTTGTCGCAGAGAGGAAGGATGGGGTCAGAGCTGAAGAAGGCCTGGACAATATCCAAAGTTCTGCCAGTGTAGCTGGCTTGGTCCTAGGAAAGGCATCTTCTAAAACACTGGTCCTTAAATCTAGTTTGGGTACATGGGTTGGAGCACCTTTAAGAGTGGCATGGTGGCCAGCCATTCCTTCACAATGGTAGGAGTCTGCTCCTCATTCCCTGAGCAGGGGACGTCTTACTTTTTAGTATAAAAGCAATCAACCTTGTCACCCAGCTAGCTGTGAGCAGGCCCCTGCACTTCCTTACGCACCTCTGAAAGGAGAACTTTTGTGCTTCTGTTCTTCACCCACAGGTTGTTCACAGGGTCAAGCACTGTGGTTTTGTAGTAGGCAAGCTGTCTTTATCTTTCCTGGGCTCCAGAGGTTCCAGAATTCCATCCTTTCCCTTAGCACTTCCATCAAACCAGCAGGCTTTTTGGAGTGAGCCCTCCCCAGTCTGGCCAGTTGCATTTAGTAGATCTTGGCAGCAAGAGGCTGAGCTGAATTCAGGACTTGAACCTGCTTCCCTTCTCTGTTCAGCAAGGCCTCCAGCCACAGGCATTGCCTCTCTTAGGTTCATGTTCTCTTTTTATGACCAGCTACTTGTCAGGCTTTGGACTGGGACGAGTTAGGTCAAAACAGAAGAGCTACTACAAGAGAACATGAAAAAATACAGTTACCCTTACTGTTGTGTGATAACTAAGGTAGTTACAAACATACGAAATGCAGGCTCTGCATTTCCACTGACATGCTTCTGCTTTGGTTTCGTCAGCTCTGAAAGATCTGAGAGATGCTCGGGGTCATTCCCTAGGGCATCTGCTGTACCGTTTTCCCTCAGACCTGGGCCACACACATCTGAATTCTTACCCTCAGCTCAAATTCTTTATATTAGTGAAGGGAAACTTCTAGATCAAAAGATACTCAGACAGGAGGCCTACTCTGGGGGTGCTGCCATTATGCAAGGAGCAGGTTGTTCCTGTCGCTTTGTGAGCAAGATCTGTGCTGGCTCTGACAGCAGTCTAGCTCATGACAGCTCTGCTGGACTGTGGGGTCAGAAAGGTAAAACAGACCACTAAATCCTTATTGGCAAAGAGCAGCTCTGGCAGAGAAGTCCAAGAGAGACAGAAAATGCTCCAATTTACAGCCTGTTGGTCTAGGCACCTGCCTGAGATAAAGTACTGCTTCCAGTCCCGTTCTGCTGGTTTCAGACCTCAAGTGATTCATTTCTCCCAGAGACATCTCTCAGAGTGATGGAGCTGCTGACCTGCTGGGTCGCAGTCCCCCTTCCTCCATGTCACCTGCTGCTCTTCTCTGTGGTGCAACCATGCGATCAGGGGAGCCCAGCTGTCCAGTGCTGCCTTCTGAGGCGTGTTGCAACTCTCAGCACCTGCACGGTGTCAAAGGAGCCAGAGCAGGTATTTCTCTTCGGCTGGACATGGAGGGAGAGGCACTCAGTGAGCTGAGAGGGATAATTGCTACAGTGTGTTTTCATCCAGGGAATGATTAAACAAAGATCTGTAATCTTTGTTTAGGCATGAGAGGAAACAGGACCTGAAGCTTGAGTGCCCCATGCTTCTTTAGTTGCATCAAGATCCACTAGACTTCTGCTAGTGACATCTTTTTGCATCCGTTGTAGCTAAAGGAGGGTAAAAGAGGTGGGATGCACTGGTCAAGCTGTAGGGCCAACAGGAATGCAGAAAAGGAAGCCAGCTGCTACAGAGCAGCATCAGCCTTGCTACCTCCTCTACACTGTGCAAGCCCTCCATTACTCAATCATGTTGCTCTGTACAGGATAAGAAGAAGGTTTGCTTGGTCACTGCTTCTCCTGACTCAGGCACAGTTCTGTATGAGTGGTCTTACAAGCTGGAAAGTGGGACAAGGTTGGCTGAAATTTGCTCTTGCAGCCTTTCCAAACATTCCTTAAGGGTCAGTTTCCCTCTGTTGCTTCTGGAAGTGCTCTACAGTCCACAAGTTGAAGGGATTTCACTATTGAAAACCAATTGAATACGAACTGCCTCACACTGAAAACTTCCCCAAACCAGGATTTCACAAGTTGTACCGAATGACCTTGTGCAATTATTTGCTAAACATCTCTTTGTGCCCGAGTACTGCCCAGCTGGCTCCTGAAGAGCAGGAAGGTAAGGCCTGGCCATCAATGTCAGGAAATAGGCTCAACCACAAATCCTTTAGAAACCAAAACCAAAGTAACTTGTCACCTCTATGTGTAGGTTTTCCACCGAAAATGCACAATTATTTATGGCCTGTGAAATCAGATACCAAGCCACTGGTGCTGGATGCACAGTAGTCAGATTACCTGTGAAACTTCTTTGATATCCACTGTTACATCGGTTATGACTTAGAAATGAAGAGAACAAGAGATCAGTTTGTACTCTGGCATTGCTCAGTGTATGCTTGCTTGGGGAAAAGTCTTTGTTGGCCTCCCATTGGGGAAAAAAAAAAAAAAAAAAAAAAAAAAAAAAAAAAAACAGCTGTCTTGTACTGCAGACCTGAGCACTCACCTTTTGTGAAGAAATTAATCATTTTAGTGTGTTTGATTGTTCATGAAATGCAAAGTAAAAGCATTCTCTACTCCCCTCCCAGCACTCTGGCTCACCAGGCTCACCCTCAGTTCAGAGGCACCACAGGAACCTTGCGCCCCTCGGGCAGCTTTCCTTTGCACAGGAAAGGAGGCACAGCTGCCTTTTCCTCGGACCATCAGAGTTTCTGCTGGGAAGCAGCGCCCCAGCACAGCCAGTCTGGTACTGCATCCCCTGCCTTTCATCCAGTGGCACACATTTAATCACCTGCCTCCCAAGGCAAAAAAAATCGTAACATTTTCTCTTCAGATGGTAGGAGCTTCTGGCCACAGCAGCCAAGTGACCAAGCTGCACCTAATGCTGCAGGGGTGCAGCTCTTGCCCTCCGTTACCCTTACAGCCACAGCAGAAACCTCTTGCAAATGCTCTCAGTGCAAACTTGCCTTTCAGCATCAGAGTGAAATTGCAAGTTATTCAGCTCCCTGATGAGGCTTGTCTGCTGCATCAAGCTATTCAGACCTAACAGGCAAGTGCATTATGAATGCACTGCAACTGGTCCTTCACAAATCACTTGCATGGGGTTTGTGGCTCAAAGCTTTCCCCTACCCCCATCCTTCCTCCTGCTGTCCATTGCCTTGGACAAAACACTCAGGGGTATTAAAAGATCTTCTTGTTTTCTGGCATGCTGCTTCCTTCTCTTTCTATCTGTAGGATTTAGAGTTTTTCCCTGGGGCAACCGATCTCCCTATGCCCTTCTCTCACTGCCTTATCGCTTACTAAAACGAGTTCATCCCCACAAACCCAGAGGAGAGCGATGGGGAGTGAGAGCAAGGAAGAGTCAATGCCACCAATGTGAAACTGCAGTATTTTTGAGTGTTTGTGTAGTACTTCCCAAACTATGTACCACTCTGTGTGTGCTGGAAGTAGACCTAAATGAATCTGAGACAGACCAGCACTGATGGTTTTGGTGAGCACATCTTTTTGGGACAGTATATTCCCTTTACTGGCTGACAAGGCATTGTTCTGCCAAACCAGCTGGTACCTCAAAATCTACTTTCAGGAAAAAAAAAATTATCACATCCTATCACCTCATTTCTGCCTCTTAATTATTGTGAAACATAATTGCAACTTATGGCTGAAAGGCAAATAAAAGAAACCATCTCTTCAAGCCCAGCAGTAACACTGAAAACTCAACATGTCATAGGAAATGGGATGTATGCAGATTCAAGAGAAGGAGGAAGGCAGGAGAAGAATGAGAAAAAAAAAAAAAAAAAAAGAAATTAAGAATAGTAACATAACATTCACACCATAATGTTCACTATTCTTTGATGAGCCCTCTTTGGATTTTTTTAGGCCACTTTTCAACCAGTTTATGCTTTTGACTTTGACTGCAAGCTGTGGCAATGAGTTCCACAGGTGAATAATGCACAAAAAAGATTCAAAAGAATGATGGGTGCAGTGAGCAAATTCAGGTGGCAGCCTTGCAGCAAATCATTGTGGGAAAAGTTCTGGTTCAGAAGTGCAGTCTAATAATTACGATTATTTTTTCCTACTTCTTGTTTTATGGGGAAAAAAAAAAAAAAACATTCCCTGACTGCATCCTCTATATCACTCTGGAGCTCTAGCGTGTTCTTTAGTCCTCTGCTTTTTGAGTTTGAGAGATCCAATCTATTTGTTCTCTCTTGCTGCTAAAGCCGTTTTATGCCCTTCTTCAGCTGTGCCACCTTAGACTCTTGTAGTTCGAGAAGAAAAATGGGGAACAGGATGACTAAGTCTGTGAGTGGATCCAAGGTGTTACTGCATTATAAAAGCACATGGCAGCACAACTGTCTTTCCTTAACATATTCTAGCATCCTCAGGACTTTTTCAACCCCTGCAGAGCACTGTGTAGGAGGAAGAAGACTCCTGCTGCATCTGGGCTGCAGGATTTTGGGGAGGTCTTTGAGTTTTACTCCTACAAGTTGACCAGACTGCAAAGAAAGAATAGACAGAGCTCTGGGCAGCTGGGAAAACAGTGATGGTTAGGGAAGGAGAGGATTTTGCTGCAGGAAAGACACCTGAGTGAGGTTCATGAAGGAGAGGAAAAAAAAAAAAAGGCCTCTTTGGTTTGGGTTAAGGCAGTGCTGAACACAAGAGAACACAGCCTGAATATGAATCAAAAGCTTGAGTCTACCTCAGGCTCCTCCGGAGGCCCTAAGTAAAGCTGCCATCCCAAATTGTCCTGTCTAGACTGCTGCTGCCAGAGCACAGCTTGAGCCAAAGAGCACTGTGGGACCTGGGAAAGCTTATCCCTGCTTGTTGGATCCACACCGTGGCCTGTACCTCACATGTGCAAGTTGTCTCCTTCCCTGCAGCCTTAGGAACAAAGGGAAAACTACCCCTCGTGCCACCTAATGCAGCTCCCCCACAAGGGGAGATAGGTGCCTACATTTTGTCCAGCAGTTAAAAAGCATTAAGGCTGATATTTCTCTTGCTAGAGGATTAGATAAGTTTAAGGAACTTGTCACAGCCACCTTTATCCCCAGGCCTGCATTGTCTCTGAGATGCTCTTCACAGCTGCTGCTGAGCTGCCTTCAGTACACAAAGTGCCATTACTTTGCATCTGCCGAATCCCTCTTGGCCTTCCAAATCCCGGAGAGCTGAGAGGCAGAGGAGGGTCTCCCTTCCTGCTGAGATCTCTTTCCTCCTGCCTCCCCTCAAGTTACTATTAAACCTCCATTGTGTAAATGCCTCCTGAAAGTCAGTAATTAAAGCCAGCGGTGTTGCGTGAAGGCAGTTTCTGATTAGTCTTCATTACAGTGTGCAAAGGGGACAGAAACAGTCAGGAGTCTGAAATCCCAACTTACATTTGCATTTCTTTGCTTGTCAGTGAAGTGTATTTGACATGGAATTGCATAGGCAAGCATGGCAATCTTGCCTGCTGCATAACTAAACTCAGAAGACACAAGCAGAGTCCTCAAAAACCTGAAGGTTCGTATCAACTTGATGGCACGTGACATTTTAATCTATGTATTTTGAGTTACACTTATTTGCTAGCCATCTTTCAGAATGCAGGGGGCAAACGTTTTAATATCTCTTTGTAAGCCTGTGGACTAGAAAGGCAGTTCTTTATCCTTTCTTTCTTTAAAATGAGAGGTGGGAATCCCATATCATTGGAGGAGTTGGAGCTGTCAAAGGGAAAGATTATACTGAGATGAAGAGCCTGTCACCATAGCTGGAGATACTGTGGGCGGTTTTACGGACAGTGCTGGACCAAGCCCATCATAAACACTGTTAATTGCTCCTTCCAGTTTTGTTTCTTGAGACCTCTCTTTTCTGGTGGAAGCCTGTGTTTGCCACCCCTGAAACAGAAGGCATGGCGAACCTGTGGTCAAGGGGAGCAGCCATCCCACTCCTAACCCCTCCGAGCCCCCAAATATGAAGAGCCAGGCTTTAGATGCCCCACTGGCACCAGTACCACACGCACAGCACTGGCACCTGGCCTGAGGGGTGCTCTGTCAGTCTGTGGTCAGATCCTCTTACACTGCACAGACTGCCTTAGCCAAACCTGTGACAAATTCAGGTCCTCTCTGCTGCAGACAGATTTATTAAAACCTCATGATTGAATTAATTCTGCTGTTATCAGCCCTGCACAGCACGCTGCAAATAGCCTGATGGAGAAACTTGGAGCAAAAAAAGGGCCTGTGAGATAGTTTCTGTTCAGACAGGCTGACCTGCCATCCTGCAGAGCAAAACCTTTTTTCCCTGTCCTCTCAGTCAAACCCAAGCTTCCTCACTCAGCTCAAACCTTTTATTTGCACAGTGACCTCTCACCTGGGGCTTGCCAGCCAATTTGTAAGCCCTTTAATAACGAAAATCCATTACCCTGCTTTACACATCAAAACTCACACAGGCTCCTCCCAAACCAGAGAACTCAGCAGATGAACTCTGGGTAAAAAGCACAATCATTTATACAAACAGTGCTATTCAAGGGCATCACTTCTCTTTCTCCTCAGCAGAAGGAGGAGGTTTCTTCCCCTCCAAACCTTACAGAAGCAGGGTTTATAATTAATCACAGCATTATTAGGGTTATCCAGGCACAAGATCAATCTGCTGTAGCTGTACCACGTGCTAGTGATGCAGCTGGCAAAGCCTTGCTGTGTCCCAGCGTCTCCAACGCTGCTTCAGAGGTGGCTGGGAGATGAGGCTGGGTCAGGCTTTCCCTTGCTCCAGCATTGCACGTGGTTCTCTGTGCTGCTTTGGGGCCCTTTACAGCTGCCCTAGTCTTTGTCCAGCTCTAAAGGTAATGTGTTCTTTATGCACGCAGCATCAGACATGAGAAGTCTCTAATTTGAGCCGAGGATTAGCAAAGTGTTTGTGGCAAATTCTTCATGGAGGAAACAACAATAACCCAGCCTGTCTTAGAGACTGGTGCTTCCACTGCCATTTCCTACCACTCACTCCAAAATGGCAGTGAATCTGCATCTGTGGCAGCTCCTTGGGAGCCACAGATAATGTCTGCGAGAGCCCCTTCCCATCTGGGGGCTGAGAGAGGGGGCTCTGCAGTCAGCACGCCGAGGAGCAGGAAGGAAGGGTTGTCATGCAGACACTGGGGCTGCTCTGCATGGTCCTTCTTCGTTTTGTCGTACCACTTCAGTTGACACCGCGTGTTGTGCTTGCCGTAGCAAACCTGTCAGCATCTTCCAGATCTATGTAAATTCTGAAGGAGATGAATTCAGCTGCTTCCTCTTGAAAACCTTTATTGGGTGACTTTCACACTGCCCCCACAGAGTCCTGCTCCTTGAAGTCAATGGGAAGTCTGGGTGTGGTGAAAAGTCAAGATCAGACCTGTAAATCAGATGATAAAGAGAAGTGGATCGGTAAGAAATGCTCTTGGGGATCAACATATTCCTCTCCCATAAGCAAGAAGCACAGGGAATGGCTCAGGAACAGCTTCGCTCTGACACAGAGGAGACTGTATTTCAACAACATAATGGTCTAATAGAGCTTTCTAATAGGTTCAGGACATCAAAGCACCCTGATGCTAAATAAATTGTCTTAGCCATCTAATAAAATCCTTTTCTGGAGGAGGATATGCAAATTTGTGTGGTTGCTCCAAGGATTTTTTCAGACCTCTTGTATGGTATTAGCATGTCCTGTGGCAGAGCCCAGTCCCCAGCAAATTGACATGCTGTATACTGTGTCCAAAAATGTTTGATGTGGCTCTTCAGGCTTCAGATACTCAGCCCTAGGGAACATATTCTGCTGTGTCCAAATCTCCTTGGTGCTCTGACAGCCTCCCCTATTCACTGGCTCCTTCAGAAATACCCGTGGCAGGTCACTGTGGGAATTACCTGTCACTTCTGTCCCTCTGTTTGCTGTGCTTATTTAATTAATGTTATTCCTGCTTTCTTACTGACTTTCTTCATTGTTCCAGAAGCCAATGGTACTTTGCCTGTTGTGGGTCATAAGTCAGCAAAAGGTTGTCCATTACATCATTGCAAATGCCATGAAAATGCATAGAAATGTGCCTGTGCATGCAGAGAACCCAAGCAGGAGACAGAAATAGGAAAGGAATGTTCCATTTTCACCGACAGCGCTCACGTTTGTCATGCGGTTTGCTCGTGTGAGCCGTGCTGGCACAAGCTGACTCTTGGGCTTTGTCCCCAGAAGGTGAGGTGGGCTTCCATGAAAAGGCAAGCTGAGAAATGTGTTTCCCGTGCTCCTCCCTGTTACCACGGCCCTGCTTCTGCCACCACCTCACCTGGGGACTTTCTGTATTGCTTATGGGGCAGTGGAGCCGGGTGCCCTTTTATGAGCTGTTTCATCATGTTGCTGGAATCATGAACAACAGCGGGGCTAATAAAAGAACCTTTGAATGTTCTGCAGATGGAAGATGTCATACTGGGAAAATCAATCCACAGATCTACTCTTTGATGGAATCTAGCTGCAGGCAGATGCTTTCATGTACAGCAGCATCTTCCCAGACAGATTATTTCCTTGCTCACATTGTATACAGTAGTGCAAGTCCTGGGATAAGCAGCTTTGCACTGCAGCACTTTTATAAACACAGCTACAGAGTTCCTTTCTCATCCAGGCTGTTTCCCTGCGGTGCAGTTTTGGGAGGGACGAGGGAGAAAACAGACTGGCAGTGACCATCTGACTCAGGAAATCTGGTCCCAGGGTTAACAAGAAGTGATTCAACAGCAGATTTCAGGAGCAACCCGTTCACTGGTGTGAGCCGAATTCACCTCTCCACCCAGCCCCCAGTGCGATACACACCGATGTAAATGAGATTGAGCAAATATCTAGCATGTCCAGTTGCTCAGAAGAAAGCCAGGAAGTTGTTCTGTCAGCATTTCCATTTAGTTTCCTCAACAGTTTTTTAAGTTAAAAAAAAAAAAATACTTACAGCCACTTCCATTGCTAGGAGTGAAACGATAAAGATCAGATGGGAGCTCTGTTCAGACAGCTGTGCAGAAGTGGTCTGGAGTTCTCATCAGAAGATGAGACACATTGAGACATGTTGTGATACTTTCTTCTGTGACGCATTATCACATTTGCACCTAGAAACAGCACGAAACTCCTCACGACAGGCCAAGTGTTACATATGCCAAGCTCCAAGTAACCTCCATAAACAGCAAGAAGGACATCCCTTTATATGTGCAGATGTCATATCACATGCTGAGACAATAATAAATCCAACCTGCCAACTCATTTTATTTTTATGAGCCTACATTTTTGGACAAGAGTTTCTTCTCAGTGAGATTTTGTCTGGTATCTATTTCCAACGACTAAAACTGAAAGGAGTTCCCACCTCATCTAACCTAGGCTGACCCAGCTACATTCTTCTAGGTTTATTTGTTTTTTTTCTCTCAGCACCAGTAGTTGAACATTAACATTTCCATGAGAGAACTTCTACGCAGTGCCTGCCCAGGGGAAGCACAAGAAATTACTGCATAGCGTGAGGGTTCATCAGCTTTTTTTTGGTGAGGACTGCATCTTGCAGCAGAGATTGTCTCCTAGAGCACTTACTTTCCCACCCCATTTGTATTTGTAGCCCCTTACCTTCTGTACCTAGTTGTCCTAAACACAGCCAGTGGTGACAAGAAAAGGTATATATTTACATGCAAAAGCAACATCAGAAGAATGCCTGTGTGCTCTGTCTTTGGTGTGAAAAGACAGTGTGTTTGTCCACAAAAAAAAAAAAAAAAAAAAAGTTTATTTTCTTAGCTTTTCTTTCTCTTTTTACGTCTCCTGTAGTTTCTCTCCCTGTTTTTCTGCCCTCAGCCCTGCCTGTTCTTTTCTGGAGGCTGGTTTCCACCAGGAGGTGCAAGTCGGCATTACCCACACACCAAGCGTTTGGCTCTGCTCCACGTCCTGCGTGAGAGGGACCATTAAAGAAGAACAGAGGGTGAAATTCCACCCAAGTCATTTTCGTTCTTCCAGCCCCAAATTCCCACGTAAGTATTGCTAAAATTTAAACCAGGTATTACTATTTGGCAACTTCAGCCAAAGGGTTTAGCACTATATATAGAATAGTCTCTCCGTCTTTCCTTTCCTGCGCAGAACTTCAGTGACTTTCTCGTAGCAATTTGGTCTCTTTATTGTTCTGCTGTTTGTTCTTCCAAAGTGCAGAAAGGTTGTTTCACTTCAGAACTCAGAGTTAATGGCAGACAAGAGGAAGTGGGTGTGAAATGGTTTATATACGCAGAGTGAAAACCTGGTGCCCTTTCTATTTATAGCTCTACTTGAACTTTCATTCATTCAGTTGCTATTTTGGTACAACAAACATCTCCTGGGGAAAGTACGTTAGCAGTGTGCCAGTGAGCAAAAGCAAAAACACATCGTTCATGCAGACAAATACTTAATGGCCCTAGAAACCACTGCCGTTCCCAGAAAGCATATATAACCAAAGTGATACCAAGGTGAAGCTTACCTCGTACATTTATTGAGCTAATAAGCAGAGTAAAGTTTTGAGGTAAACCCAAACCTTCTTACCAATTTCATATCTTTTTATTAAATTTTAAATCAAGGGAAATGTTAGTATTTTTATTCTCAGTGGAGCAGGTTTTTCTGGTAAAACAAATACCCCTTGTCACTTCTGCCTTTTGTGTAGAGAGTTGGCTAACCAGCATTAAAAGCTTCAGATGGGATTTTTAATCTTGGTCTAGGGGGTTTCCTTAGACGTTCAGCATCTCACACCTACCTGTTACAGTGCAGCCAGGGTCAGCATGGAGTTCAGATCACAGGCCAAGTCCACAGTGATAAGGCAGGTCTGACATCAGGCTGAGAAGGCAGCCTGCAGGTTGGCGTCACTGCCCAGACCAGTGAAGATTATTGCTTAACTTCTAACGTAGCTAAATTGAGATACCGTAAGTTTAATTCCCATGGGTAACACAAAGCAGAAAAGTGTGGGTTTCCAGCAGCCCTTAGCTTCTTCCCTACAGAAAGACCCAACCAACTTCATGCCTACAAGGTCTCTCACACTGCTTCTTGGGCCAGGAGTACACACAAGTGTGAACTGACTATCTCCAGCTGTGCCTGACTGCTCAGCCCAAATGACCAAGCACCCATCTGCAGCTGTGTGAAATAGGAGTAGTGTCTTGAAACAAACCTCTCAATCACTCTTACCCAAACCTATGCTCTAGTATCCTCCCTGACACTTCTAAAAGTAAGGGATTGTCCCAGTACCAGCACTGGTGATGGTGGGACAGTGAAAGAGGGAAATGGTAGGAAGTGGGTGACTCTATAGATATGCTGTCAGCTGTGGGTAGCGTCAACTGCATTTCCATCTCATGTGTTGCAGGAGGCCTGAGAGAAATTCTGGTAACTCTCTTTGCCAGCAGGTATGACATGATCTTGGGTAGAACTGCTGATAAAAGGGGTTCGGTCTGTGTGAGATATACCAGACAGGAGTCACTCTGAATAAGCTCTAGCTATAGACATGCTGCATGTGCAGGTGTGGTTGTAAAAGGGAAGGTCAGAGTTTTGCAGCAGGTGGGCTGGTATGAATATTTGCATCACAATATCCTGTGTACTACATCATTAATAAGTGGAAATTAATCTCTGTGCACATATGATTTTCTCTGGTTAGAGCTTTAATATTTTTTAGAGGCTAAAGTCTGTTTAAGTGCTAGGCATTTCTTCAGAGAGAGAAGATGGATGATTTGGGATGAAAGCCAAATCCCACCTTAGCACTACTGCTGGGTGCAGTGCCTAATGACGGTGCTGTCCCTGGAGTATAATGGAGAGTTTGCTTGTTGGATCCACTACACAGAAGGGTCTCCCTAATTGGTTATGTTGGGAATCTCTGGCTATACTACAGCCAAACTTGCAATTAACACCTTCCTCCACGTTTTTGGCATTTAGCCATTATAGTCATAATGTCTTAGATAATTCCTTTGCTCTCTCATCACCTATTGATAGGTGGTATTTTTAAGGAACCCAGAGCTGTTTGCACCCACCACTACACACCGTCTTACATACAAATGCCCTTCCATTGAACACCGTTGGGTACTTCACTGAGATGCGGCTGCTCAACAGGCAAGGCTTTCTCTAGAGGACCAGTCTGGGCCATGGCCTTCATCTGAAGAAAATCTGTGGCAGAAGAACCTGGACGTGGTCTGGTGTGGCTCATAATTCAAGGCCTTAGCAAAGCACGTGTAAGCAGCCAGGATGAAGGTTACACTGCCTGTACTCTTATGAACTTTGAATGCCTGGCTTTGCAACCTCAGTAACATTGCAAAGCAAGCTGGGGGAGGGAACTGTGCATGTGCCATGTCACTAGGGTTTGAGGCAAGCGGTTCCAGAGAACCGTTCGCTAGACTGTACCAGGGCAGTCTGGTATCCTGCTGACTTTATTGAGACACTGAGAGTCTTGGCATTAGTCACTTAGTGTGTGACAAGTTGCAGATACATTTGGAATGAGGACATTAGACAGCCAGGTCCAGGTACTCAAAGATCCTTTTCTTCCAGCAAGAATTAAGGGTCTTACTATCTCTGAGGGTCTGGACCATCTCCCATAATTTGGAGAGACCCAGCAACGTTCTAATATAACCTCATGTTACAAGCCACAGGAGCTTCCCATATATATATTTTTGTGTGTCTCTAAGTTACAGCAGAGCTATTAGAAAGGCTAAAAATAAACAAAAAGGGAAAGATCAATAAAAGATGGCTTTCTTAATTCATTGCCTTTCCTGTCTCTTCCTTGGAGCACAGAGAAGTCACTAGAAAATCATGTTCCAGGATCAGGAATGAAGGGTTTGATTCATTGCTAATAAAGGGTAGATACCAGGAGCTGCAGGCCAGTTTACAGGTTGAGGGAGTCCTTAATGCTTCTGGGATATGTTCAAGCACCTGTTGCAAGCATCTTTCTTTCCTGTGGGAGAGGCATTCTTTGCTGTGTTTTCTCTCTCGTTTAATCCTTCCTACTCATACCTCTATTCACAGGCCTTGGTTGCATTAATCAGCATTGTAGCCCAGTTAGGAACCTAATTGTAACGCAAGACACACTGACTGCTACTGAAGGTCTCCCTGTAGCTCAGGAAGAAACATTTACTTGAAATGTGGACAGCCCTTCTGTTTAAACATCGTGTTTTTTCAAATCGAGGTTTTCTAGGATGTGTGCTGGGCCCGTTGTATTAGCACTGGACTGCTTGTTTTGGTCTTAGTCCCAAAACTTAACAGGGTTCCTCTGGAGCGAGGGTTTGGGTGCCCCTTCACCCAGCACCTATCCCTAACTTCTACCCACCAGGTATTTCATTGCATCTTGCGTTTTCAAAATGATATCTTCACCTCAGCTTTCATGAGGAGGAATGAACATCGAGCAATTCCCCTTGTCTCCTTCCCCCTCCTAACCTGTAACTTCTGGCTACAACTGCCAGCATCTGCTAGGCAATGAATTAATTGTCTAGAGTCTTTTCTTCTGGTTATGGACACAGCAGAAGAATTCTTGGCCCATTTCTGGCAGATACTGAGGACACACACGAAATTATGTTTGGTTCAAGCTTTGTGGTGCTTTATAGAAGAAGGCTGAATGTGCTCTGGGATTTTACGGCCGAGTGGAGTCACTTTCTATGTAATGTCGGGATGATGACCCGGTTGTTATACAGGAGAATAACAGCGTGGAGCCACTTGTCTCAGTTCTCAGAAAACTGAGAACCCGTTACTTTGACCTCCTCTAATTGCATGTGAGTTTATCTGAAGAGGCAGCAGGTCTTCAGCTGGAATGAATAATAAAAGGCAGAACTGCAGTGATCATTTTTTCTGCAGGCAGAGGTGAACAACTTTGCAAGCACTTTGTTCAACAAGCGTTGCACTTTCTCTCCGTTCTAGGGTTAAGGTCTGAGGGCAGAAGCAAACATTTAGAAGAGTATTATCCTGTGACTATAAACGAAGATGTGTGTATCGATACTGACATCTCCTATGGCTTGAGCAATCCTGGACGTGGGGCGAGGTCATTCACACTTTCATGTGCTAGCCAGCGAGTTGAATTCTCACACCCTTATCTATTATACTGGCTAAGGCGTCGCTCTGTTTTCTCTTCTATCTGCATAACCACGTGTTGAGCAACTGGAATGTCATTCCAGAAATTCTGACTGGCTTGGGTGTGTGCTCCTCGCAGGAATTACTTCTGGGAATCTCTCAGAAGGGCCAAACAATATAGTTTCCAAAAATTATGCTACTGTACAGCGTGCATTTAAATGAATTGCATAATTTGGCCAAACATAATCCCTCTATTGTAGAGTAGCAGACACCTCTGCCTGCTATTTCAAAAGGTGATCCAGCTGCTAGGAGCTGTGTGCTATTTACATACTTACAATGTTTATTTATAGTGTGTATATGTGCCAGAAGGGAATTAGGGTTTATTTAATATTTTCCATTGTTTCAAAGTCATAGCAGCACAAGTCAGACTCCCACAGCCCCATGTCTTCATAATTCAGCCCTACCATTCATTTCACTCAGCTACATTCAGGACACATTCCCTGATGGAAGTGGCACCGCAGCTATGCATTTATAGTTAAATGCTGCTTTCTGGGGCTGGCAACAGAGCCCTGGCACCTAGAGCAAAAGACTGCCTCACTGTGAACAAGTGGACATGGCATGCAGGAAATATTGGTGAGCCAAGGACCTGTCTTCCTGCTGAACCCAGATCTCTCTGGGTATACATGTAGGGGAATCCCCCACCAAGGGCTGGTGCAGGGCAGTCGCCAGCCAGAGGCAGAGGGATTGTACTCCAGCAGGCAGAGTGAGACTTGCATCCTTCCTGGGCACCACAGTGGTGGCAGGAGCCCCCAGAACTGGCAGAAGCAGCCAGAAGCTTAGGAATAGATTTAAACAACTGTTGCCTGTGTTGCTGCTACAAAACACGGACCATTTGCATCAGTGTCTGAAGGCTGCATCTCACTTGCTCATCATTTATGCTGTTTACAAGCTGGCCAGAACCTTGGCTTTCACCTGAAGCAAGTCTGCTCGCTCTCCAAGGAGGAAAATTCAACTTGTCCAAGTGAGAACTGGCCACATACAAGCTCCATCCTTACTTATGGTGTGGCATTTGGAACAGCAAAGCCCACCACAAGAAGTCACCAGAAGACACGCAGATGTAGCTCAGAAAAAAAGTAATGAAGGATTGTAAAAGTAATGAAATCTGACAAAGCAGCCAAGTTGAGTGGCACTCAAAGGAAAACAAAGCTGAAAGCACTTTGGGTGCCTGTCACTAAATTACAAGGGTCCCTTTGCATGCTGGCAGGTCAAGTGCCAGGGCAGAGAAGCATCTCCTGAGGGAAACACTCTGCCCACTTCCCCTGGCAGGGAGCAGACAGCAGAGAGCTGTTTTCTGTTCATGGCAACATGGAAACTAAGGGCTCAGTCTAGCTTGTATATACAGAGCTTCATCGCATGCTACCTGATGGCCCTAGCAGTCAGCTGGCATTATGGTTTTAATATGATCCGAAGCTTGGTTACCTAAAGACAATCAAGAGCTTTTAAAGGAGCTATTACAAAACAGATGAGAAATGGGCCCTTGAATGATTCTGTGATTCTCTCGGACTGAATTCCCTCCCTCCAGTGGGCACTTGGCCTTCCAGAAGTCTCCTGAGCTCTTGCATGGGGAGAACAGTGAGAGGGCAAGCTCATACTCCTTCCACACTGTGGCCATTTGTGTGGCGGTTCAGTGGGGGATTATGCTAGAGGCATGGCTTTGCGACCCCTTGAAACATGGTCCCCTTCAGAGCATTTGCAATCACAGAGAAATTTGGCTGTAACAATAAGGAATGCTGCTCATTTTCAAACTTTGGCTGGCAGTCGTACCTTATGCAGTTGGGATGTATTCTTAGCTTACTGTTTAACCACATTCAGCTGTGTGTTATGCAACTGCTATTAGCATTAATGAGCTGCAAGGCTACTCTGCTGATACTGTTCCTAGAAACAGTCTGCCTGGGAAAGCACGCTTTTGGGCTAGTTAGGGGAGTTGCAGGGAGCGGAGGGGACCAGCATACTTTGGCGCTTGATGAGGTGCCTTGATACGGACCTAGCCGTGGGTCTGCTCTTCCGCTGTGAATTTCAAAAATCAGAAAAAAAATATCTCTGCATGCTGATGCTGCCTCTGTCCAGGGTCAAATTTGGATTCTGGTTAGGAATAATGTCTCCTAAACACTGATGAGTTTGATATCCAACCTGAGGCGAATCTAGGGGGGGGCAATTTAAAAGCACCTGTTTAAAACCTACAAGCTAAGGAGCAAAATAAAACTTCACCCCCAGACCATGAGGATAACCTGCTGTGAAAATCTCATTTAATTTTTATTTTGAGTAAGATGAAAGTAGCTTTTAAATCTTAACATTTTTAGTACCGGTGTGCAGAAATTGCACTTTGTGTCTCAAAAGAAAGATCTGCAAGGGCCCTGAGTGTATCTTACACATCTTGAATAGATCACTGATGTCAAGAAACTAGCATTGATTTCTAACGACTGAACTTCTTATTTGTTTTTTGGGGGTAGCAAAGTAAAACCCATTTATCTGAAAACTGTTCCGGCAGAACTGAAACAGGTCCCAGATTTGTATGTTCTCTCCCAAGGCTCTGCTTGCTCTCAGCAAGGACTATTTGCATGTCCAGACTAGGCAGTGGTGCAGCCGTGTACTTAGCTGCACAAACCGGTACTGATTTTGCTTGTGCAAAATGCAAACACCCTCAATTACCTGTAGAAAATCCTCGCCAAGGCTTGAGATTTCTGATCTGCTTGGATGTGGCACTTCCTATCATGTGCCCTGGCAGCTGTGCAGGTCTTCATTTGGAGCAAAGCCTGGAGGAAGGCAAGGTGAAGATGGTAGTTCTAGTTGAAAGGCAAACGGATCAAAGGCAGGCGATTAACATCAGCGCCTCTCATCAGGACAGAGTGTCTGAGTTCAGCCTTCCCTTGCATCGCACCCGAAAGCCTGGTCACTCCTTTGTTTGCCTGAAAGCGTTTTGGGTACAGGGCAGCCTGTGCATGGGTCACACATCAAATAAGCATAGGCAGGAGCCCAGACCAAACACGTGGCTGGGACCAGCGAGATGCGACAGGAGATACCTTCAGCGCTCTCGGCCAAACACGAGACCTGAAAGACTGGTGGGAGGCAGACAGGTAACCAGAGAATAAAAGCTGGGGTTCTTGAGCACGTAAACAATAGAAACCACAGAACAACCACACTTGCTCTCTAAAATGGCACCGCACTCACGGGGCCAAACAGCTGGCCAGATGCTCGGGCTTGAAAGATAGCGACTGAAACCTGTACCAGCCTCCTATTTGCTGCCTCATGCCTAAAAACCATGAAATCCTCAAAGCTGTCATGGTGATGCTGAGGGGAAAACTGTCCCTTTGTATCTCTGTTGTCTGCTTTCATGTGTGGAGATACTGCATGACAGGCTGCTGTGCTGAGCCTAGTGCTGATCTATGGATATAGATCAGGAAGAGCTTGGCTAAAGTAAACAATTATTCCCAAGTGAACTGGGAATGAGGAAGAAGTCTGCAGACTTCATGCACACATTCTCACGCTGTTTTGCAAGCCTGAGCAATCCTGTTTTCCATAGCCAGGCTGCAGGAGCACGTTCAGCTCTCTTCACGTAGCTTTGTCTGCAGCACCCAAGTCCCCCATGCTACTTTGGGATGTTCATATACGTGTAAGGGCTGAGAGACACCTGGGGGATTTCCTGAAGCACCGGAGCAGGTTAGGCACCTCGGGCTTGATGTCTGTCTGCCGCATCAGTGCTGTAGTAGATGGTGCTTACAGGAGTCTCCATGGCTTCTTGCCTGTTCCCTTTGGGTCAGGAGAAACATCTTCAAAAAGCCATGCCTTAAGCGTGTCACCCCAGGCCTGCCTTTCTCCAGTTACCTCCTTTGGGCCCCACAGGGATAATAACATTTTTCAGGTAGAGATTTAGCTGCTTATTATAAACACATCAACGGGGTGCTCTGGCATTAACCAGGTTCTGCTGCCATCAGTGTCACCAACAGCTTTGCTTCAGGGGGAGCACAGAGGGGATCCCGCCCTTCACCACTTTCTCCACCTAGCCCTTGTGCATCCCTAGGGTGCAGTGCCAGGGATCAAGCCACCCTTTCAGCCATTAGCTCTGGCACTCAGCACACCATACTGCTGTCCCCGTAGCTTCATAGCATCCACTTGGTGCCCTAAATGAGCTGTCAGAAGAGGAGACATCGGGTCCCAGCAGGACTGATGCTGTTAGGAGAAAGGCAGTTGGCTCACCCAGAAGGGAGTTCATTGCACTGCATCAGGTAACTGCTCAAGGATGGTAGGCTGGACTTTGGGGAAATGGACATCCCCAAAAGAGAGATTGCTGTGTACACAGAGGAGTCTGTGGGCTTTCCACAAGACTCTTTTCTTGAGATGTGCAGCACAGCACTCGGAGCTCACAAGCATTGATAGTTTAGAAACACTCTTGTGCATGAATATTTCAAGAGAAAAAAAAAAAAAAAAAAGGAGGACACTGAAAATGGACAAAAGTCTTTCATAGGGCTGGGCACATTTCAACTCCCATTTTTAATCTCTCCTCACCAGCCCTCTGTACTGGGTATGGCTATGGGAAATACTCCCAGATCTATATACTTATGCACAGTCAGCACACACTGAGTTACACGGGTATGCCCAGCTCCCACTGTCAGCAAAAAGAACATGCACTCAATGGCATCTTGGGGTAGACGTGCTCTGAGGCACATGTCCTTGGTCTGAAGTAAGCTACCTCTCCAAAAGCAGCCTGGCAAAGGAGAGTTTGCCTTTTAGGTCTCACAGAAAAGGATCTGTGTTCATATGGTTTCATATGCTGTGTAGTTACTGTTCAAAGGACTGGGACAACTTCTGCTGTTTCCTGATAACATTTTCAGAAGGCTCTGGACTATCCCATGTGGCAGTGCTAGGAAATAATGGCTTACTGGTGGCAACCTGCAAACTACTAGCAATACAGCTCAAAATCACAGGGTGTTTTTATAAAATGTTAGATGTGAAGCCAGACACTTAAAACACAGGCAAGGTCCTTCGTGGCAAGGATGCAGAAATGGTGCCCAGTGCCTTTCCATTTCAGTGCCTGCACGGTTTAGGTGCCCCTGGCCCACCTGAGTCAAGCACAAACTAAAATGCCCAGCTTTTCATGACAAAATGACCTGAACTCACACCTTCATGGGAGCAAAGCAAGGTGCAGGTGATGTGAAGAGAAGCAGCAGACAATCTGTAGGTCTTTCAGGGTATCTGAGCAGAAGCAGTGTGATGACTTCCTGTCCTGCCACTTGGTACTTCCCAGGTGTCCCTCACATTCAGAGCTGTTCTCGATTCCAGAAGAGATTACCGCAGTGAGCTCTTACTTTCTTTTCTATGCCAGTTTTACAGTCTTGGATGCAGCCTAAAAATAACCAGGAAAGGAAAATGATTTTGTTTTCTCAGAGGCACAGGTGAAAAAATGCTTCCTATGGCTGGTTGCCAAACAATCCCCAAACAAAACCACCCCCAAACTTACACGAGAAAGAGGCGGCTTTAGCGGAAAGTAAACCACTCTTGGGTTTTGTCCATCTCTTGTGATAAGCCATGGGCATATTTTTCTCTCCTTCCTTCTGCAGATTGGTTACTGATGCTCTGCTCTCTAATTAGGCCCGCTCCAGCTTTGTGGAGGAGGAGAGAATCTGCATATGCAAAACGTGTAAACAGCAAACATGCCTCTGCTGGGCTGCCACACTCCAGTCCAGAAAGACGGAATTGACCTGCATGCCCCTGAGTTCTCTGTGGAGTTCCTCAGATGTAAAAGCAACTCTCTGCCAAGGAAGGAGGGGATGTACAAGGGAGGATGGGCACATGTACAGGCAGAAATTCAGCCTGCAGGCCCAGGGGATTCAGAGCAGAGGCCGTACACAGCAGGTTACGTTATCTTGGTGATAATTCATCTTTGCTGCGCTGTCACTGCACTGGTGAGAGTCAGGGGCCTCTTCTCAGCCAAAATTTCTCAAAGTACTAACATTTCCTGGCCTTGGCACACCAAACAAGCAACCGTTACTACGTGCCCAGGTTAGCTGCCCAGACCAGCAGGGGACATGCCCCGACATTTGTGTGGTTATCAGTATGGATAACAAAAAACCCTTATGACTGCACAGGAAGAAGGTGAAAAGCTGCATTATCTTATCTGAGGAAGGCCATGGCCAATGCAGCAGCTGCTTGGCCATCCGAGCACTTGTGTTTGCATTCCTTATGAAACCCTTGCACGGTACCAGACACCAACGACCTTACCAATAATTAACAATGGAAATTTCATTCCCACATGCCCTTGGATAACAGGGCAATGTAACGGAGATGTTTTTCTTGCCCTGTCAAATACCTGACAGGGTGTTGTAAAGCTGGTTAATTTGTATGGGTGCTGTGCTTGGGATGAATGCTGTTACCTACAACAGAGTGAATGGTCCTTTGCTCTTCTGTCAAAGGCCTCGGTGGGACATTGGAGTCACCTTTTTAAAAGTTCCTATGTGATTTAGGATTCCTTCACATGGAGATTTCTGAGACTTCTGCCAGCCGTGTACATCCCTCCGTGGAGATCCCGTGAAAACTCATCTTCTACATTTTCCCACTGAAAACTCATCTTGGTTCAGGGAGCTGGGAGCTCCCAGCTAGCCCATGGGAATATGGAGCTTTTGCTGCCCCGGTGTGGGCACTGTAACCTTACAGACATCTCGTGCTGCATCCTTGTAGGCATTCAGAGACTAACATGTTTGTTCTTGCTTTTGCAGACTGCTCTGACAAGGAGAGTCCCCCAGACAGCCATCCCACCTTGTCCTCATGTTGCTGCTGGCTCCTCAGGCACATGCTGCCTTCCTGGGAGAATGCTGCAGCTCCTTCCCAAGCCCCCACGTGCTGTGTCTGCACCTCCAGCCAGACCATCTTGGCTAGTGTCTGGTAAGTCAACTCCTGTGCAGATCCATAGGAGAAAGTCCAAAAGAAGGCAAGTCCCTACTTTTATCAAATGTCCCCTAGGAATCTTCACACCACAGCTCACTCCCTTTGGAATAACTGCACTAATGAGTCTCCCTCTTTGTATGAGAGAATAACAGCAGGACTTAGAGCAGCAGTTCCCAGATTCGGGGGATGACTGCTCAAAGCAGGCCATCTTTATGGTTGTTTCAGTTGGGAACTTGTATTGAAGGAGCAGGAGAGTTTTCCAACAAATAGATCTATCATGAGCTGGGGAGGCTTAAGAACTGTTATATCTGATATCACCCCTGTCACCAGTCATCTTCTTTGGACCCAAGGAGGCCACTTAAGCCTCTTTGCAGACAAAGTGGTAGAGAAAAAGTTAATTCTGTTCTTTTTTGAGCTGCGTGTTTCCCCTCTCTGTCACAAAGATAGTCACCTGTGCATTTAGTGAACACCCAATGGTTCCCATACTTAATGCTCACCCTGCAGAGCCTATTCTGAGCTGCAACTCTGAATTTTGCTGTCTATGGCAACAATGCAGTGGTCCCAGGTAAGTCCCTCCAACCCCCTTCAGGTAGCTTTTCAAAGCTTTTTATTCAAAGTCTTTTGCCTAAATGTTATTTCTGAATTTATGGTCTAACACTATATACTGTTTTCGATAGTATCACACTTGGAGCTTGAGCAGAGATCTTTGCAAAAATAGAAAATCACCTCTGACTAAGCAATTAGCTGCAATTTTTGAGTGAAGGTGTTTTAAAGATTAGTACACATTTGACTACGCAGAACAAAAGCAAATGTCTCCTCACGCACGGACGTAGCATTCACAGATCTGCATGCGGCGAATTCTTTTGCTTTGTATCTCTTGTTTTCCCTTTCATGATAATAGCTGGGCATGAGTTTGTGGGTTTCCTTGTTTGTTTTTAAAGGCAGTGGATGGAATTGGAAAAGATTTTCTGTGCAGGAAGTATGAGCCTATTGGTTTAGCTCTCTCAATAGGGGGATTATAGAGTCAGAAATGTGGGGAAACCCTGGTTTGGAAGGTCCTGTACACATTCCTTCAAACTGTTCTGGCGTCTCTCCAAAAACAATGGTGGTTTATGTAAGGTATTGAGAGAGAATGACAAGAGCATGAGTATAAATCTGCCTCTCAGTAAGTAGAGAAAATATGCTTGTTATTTCGTTCAAGCTTGTTCAGGGGTAGAGAGAAGGGTAGGCAGGCATAATGCCAAGTGGTAAGGTAGGCGTTGCCAGTAACCAGGATGGTTTCTCACATTAGTAATGGTTCCTCCTCATTTTCAGGTGAACAGTTCAAAAACATTCAGCTTGACAGGGCCTGAAACCTCTAAGAGCTTTGGAAAGGGGCTACGTTGCTTAGGAGCCTCTCAGGCACTCTCAGGTTTGAAAGGATGTGAAGGCCGTGGCTGAGGTAAGCGAGGCCATCCTGCCTGCAGCTGTCCACCCTGAAGAGGCTTCTGCTGCTATCGCTCAGCTTCCCCACACAGATGGAAGATGATGCCCCCCCAGATCCACCAGCCCTCCTGTGCCCCATTTTCTTCCTTGTAGCGAGTTTCCCCCTCCAAAAATAGGGGAAAACTGTACTGCTCCTGCTTGCTATATGAATGAGCAGTGGATGTGATTCTGCAGATCCAAACCTCTTCCAAAGTGCTAAACCTGTTCAGTTTGTGTTTTCAGTTGCATTGGTTGTATGTTAAGGTCACTTGGACAGTGCTGGAGTCAGAGATGCTAGCAGTACCTCCTGGGGTGTAAATGGCTCCCAACCCCCAAGGGCACTCACTGACCAGGAGATGAGTTACTCTGGACTCTGTCTTGGGGCTCTTCACACCCAGGATGAAGTCTCACAGCTGGCTTTGTCCAGGCTCTGCACTTTGTGCCAGGATCAGGGTGCCTTTATCCCCCATGCTCACAACACCCCAACACCCTCCACAGGGTGACAACTCCTTGCAAAGTCAAGGTGAAGGCTGCCACCTACTGAGTCCCCAGAGCTGCCTCCAGTGACACCTGAGCATGCCTTGGAGGTTTCTAAGCAAGCAAGCAGGCACACAAAGCCTTATTTCCAGCCCTTCAGGAGCCAGTTGCTTTACTGCCACCAAACACAAGACTTGTGCATGTGTCTCTTAGCACTCCGCGTGCCCATTGTGCACACCTCACCAGCCAACCCTAAGGCTCTGCAAGAAGCTGTATTTGTCTTGCCCAAATCAAACTGAAGCAGAGGTACTTGGCAGCAGTGCTGCAGGGAAAGATCTCAGCGCAGGATTCAGCAGGCTCTTTGGTTCTGAATCTGGATCTGAAAAGCAGTATCACTCTCATGCAGTATGTTTACATTTAGACACACTTAGTTTGGATAGCAGGACTTTGGTATGAGCTTGCACATTGCAGACTGGCTTTTTAAGAACAAATTATCTTCAAAACCACCTCAAGGGATCTGAATACCTAGTCTGTGTTTGTAACATAGGGCTCCCATGGGAGCTATTAAAAACTGCTGTTGAGAGATATGCCCAAGATGAAATTCCAGGAAAGTCAATTGCAGAGTAAATCAGGTAATCGCTCATGAGCCTCAAATGCTGATGTTCTGACCCTTATCCTGCCTGACAGTCTGAAAGGATCAGAAAAAAAGATCTTCTCCCACCCACCTCCAAAGTCTTGAGATTAACAACATTAGATCCCCGGGAACGTTCACTGATCCCTGTCAGCACACACACATACACATGCATGGAGTAATTCCCGTGTTACTAGCTCTCCTAGATAGGTTTTTAACTGATCTGTGAGGGATTCATTCTGCTTGGAAGGTGCCCACTGAGAGCTGCATGCTGCCTGACCTGATCATGCAGACCATTTATTGTCCCAAGCATACCGACAGAATTTTATGCCCATCCAGCAACTGATACTGATCTCTCTACATGGAGGCTTGTTCACCAGTGCTAGGATGAGGCATCAATCTGCTTGCTCTTCTCATGTCAAACCCTACACCAGAGCAACCTTCTGTTTATTCTCATACTCGGATCTCTGTACACATAGGGTGGACTTTACTGTTAACTTCATTAGTCATTAAGTTAGGCATTTAATGCCTACCCTCCTTTATAGCCAGCCGAAGGAGAAAGAAACATCTCCAGGGGATGATTCACCTGGATTATTGTAGATACCTCATGTTAAATGAATTCCCTGTGGAGATGCCCTCTCCTTCACTATCTCGAAACAGCTAACTTAAGCGTGGCACCTATCTGCTCAGTGGGTGAACGTGGGGTGAGTGAACCACAGCATTAATTTCTACAAATAATTCAATACCTTAGACCCCACTGAAGTGAAGAAGACCACAAGGGATAGTCTGACTGTACATAGCAGCGGAGATTTAGCAACTGAAGTGTCTAGCGTGTTTGATACTAGAGGCCAGATTCGCTAGAATCATATTCTTAAAGCAATTAAAATCCGATTGTATAATGAATGAATTGGAGATCACCGCAAAGCTATGAGTTTCCCACCCTTGTTTCAAGTTGCAAAGACCTGGGATCATCTCATCTAAGCATCTGTAGCAAGTACAATTTATTGTGCTGTTGCTGGGAGGGTTATGATAAGGGAACAAAGCTGCAGAGTTAATTAATTAATGGAAGTCAGCAGTGGGTGGGGAGCACTGTAAGGCTACAGGGCTCTCCATACCTTTCGCAGGGTTCTCGTTACCCTGGAATGTACTGATGGCTGCCGTGAGGCACTACTGACTTTGATCTCCAGACAGTCGCAGGCCTGCTTACAGCCAGTGGGTGTGTTAGCACTCTTCTGTCAGGCTCAATGGAGGGAGCAATTAAACCTCATTTATGTAGGAGATAGCCTCGAAACAAGAGGAGCCGACACCCCAAAAATCACATGACATGGCCTACTCAAAGCACTGTTTGGGTGGCTGGAAGGGTCTTGTTCTAATTACGTTCACTGGGGGAAAAGATACCCTTGTGGTATTAAGTGACCTTGTTCAGGAAAAAAAACGTTTTCCTTATTTTTTCCAATGCCTGCTCTGAATCAATAAGTGAGTAAGCCTAGGTGGGTTTTTGGTTTGGTTGGATGGGACTCGAGTCTGACCACCTGGCGACAGAGGCAAGGCTGAAGAACTCTGAGTGACAGTACTGGAAAGGGAATGATAGCAAGGTACCATCTTGGGAAACTTCAAACACATCACTTTATCAAAGAGTGATTCAAGACATCACTCAGCAAGTTGCTACAGACACAAGTTATCATCTGAATACCAAGCACATTCCAGGATCTGCCTCTGAAATGAGGAGTCTACATTTCTTATTCAATATCGTTAATATGACATGCTGTCCCTTCAGAGCAGGTGTAAGAACTTTTTTCCTAGCAAAGACGATAGGACTGGAATCCTCTGCAAGCTCTGGGAATGAGCAAAAGCCCCTAGCAAGAACTCAACTTTTTACAAATGTGCCTTGTTATTTAGAAAAAAGAAGGAAAGCATATCTGCAGTAGCTATAGCAGGCAAATAAGGAATGTGGACCTACAGAGACATAGAGGGAGCATGGGGACTGGTTTGCTACATGTGCATACGGGGCTGGTTTATATTTTCTTCTTCCTGCAAGATCACTTCTCCTGGCTTCAAACTCCATTTACCAGAGAGGGAACCACCGAGTGGCAATGGCCTTTGTGTCTCTGCACGGATTATTGTGCAGTGAGCCACAGTACAAGCAGAAAGTGGCTGCTGGGGGCACAAGGGCTGGATAACCTCCCCCAGTCACAGCTCTTTCCTGACCTATGCTGCCCTGCGCTCTGGCTGCTGCTGGCAGAACACAGGAGCATGGAAGCCACCCTTGCACACCTTCCTCCCTTTTGCTGAGGGGAAGCTGCCTAAAACTGGCACGCCAAAGTGCTTGGCAGTACAGAAATGTAACGTCATTCAATAAAGCCACTGCCCATTTACAGAAGGCCTGTATCACACTGCAGTGTTTTAGGTTATTTTATTAAGGAAG